TAGAATTTTTTTCTAGTTAATAGTAATAGTAATATATTACTTTCTAATGTAATTGACCACATGTCTGGTACATATACTGTGTGTGTATGTATGTACATAATGTAAACATAACAGTAGCAATCGTGGTTTACCTATCAGCTAAAATCTACAATTTCTTAAAGTGAGTAATGAATGATGATAGAATTGTATGGTAAAGATTGGCACATAGTTCGACTACAGAGACTCCTCCTTAAGCAACAAGAGGTGACTCAAATCTTTTATACAATAGTACCATAGACTATAATGTAACAGCTAGGACACACACATATGCACTGTACATTAATGAAGTATATTAAATGCCTCAAGTACAGCCACAGTACACATACACTGCATATGTATATAGACCAGTTGGCGCTAAGTATATTCATAGAATTTTGAGTATATTCATTGTGATACCGTAAATTTTCCTACCGCCATTTTGGAGTCTTAGTTACTAAGAGTAGAATGGGAGAAAGTAATATCTTTGCATCTATATCTTCTAGTGGCACTTATTAAAGTCCATGAGCCACCTCTAGACACTGGATGATGGTCAGTAAGCAGTGGCAATATTGCTTTAACGAATAAATACAGCAGTTTTTGGAGAATAAGCTCTTTTCACCATCGCTCCGTAGACAACCATTGGAAGTAGGATTCCAAAATGGCGGAAGGAAAATTTTACTTTATTTATGGCCCATAAATAAAGTAAAATTAAATTATGGCATCACAATGAATAATAGTCTGGGCGGCGCCAGACTAAATGAATAATTATACTTAAAATTCTATAAATTACTTAGCACCAACTGGTCTATACTCTCATCACCAATGCAATTATATTATAAGTAATTTCCTTTTCTGTTTGAAAGAATCAGAAGGGTTTGTGTACTATGCAAAACTTGGAAAAATTAACAAATTAATGAAATAAAGACCAAGCAATAATAATAACAATAATAATAACAACAAATGGTGTTAATGTTAATAAGTGATAATAAGGTAGTTAGTGTTGTGTGTATCAGATAGGAGGACACACACATATACTCTGTACATAAGCTAATTGCAGAGGCGTATTTAGGGGGGGGGGCTGAGGGGGCTTGAGCACCCCCCTCAGGGCTGGGCTCAGAAAAAATTACTAAAGTCCTGGACTCTTGCATCACTACCAAGCCTCTTAGCAAAGTTATCTAGCCCCCTGATCATGATTTCAGCAGTTTCCAGTGCTTTAAGGAGCAATCAGAAGTACCAGTAACATAGCAGTATGCTTGAAATGATCTTGGCCCCACCCGTAATTGTCAAAAATGCAGGAAAAGGCCGTTTTACCGCCGTAAAAGTGGGTGTGGCCAAAATCGCGGCGCGCTTCGCGCGCCCTCAGCAGTCAGCACTCCCCTTCTCCAATTCCTAGATACGCCCCTGAATTATTATCTGCACACACACACACATGCACACACACACACACACACACATGTACAGTGTGCACATTATTATGCATGTTGACATCATGCAATTGGCTTCACGCTGTTGAAGTTAGCATCACATTCACCAGCATCACATTCACTACAAACCACAAGGAATTTGACACGCCCACGCAATTTTAAAACCACGAATGTGCAGCTAACTTCAGGATTTTTGCATAGGTGAGGACTAGGTACTACTGTTGTCTGTCTGTCTTCAATTCATTCATTGTTAATGTTACAGTTGTTTAATAAGTGATGGAAGTATTTCGCTTTTAAGCTAGTAGATCCAGGATTTTTACAGGATTTTGGTATAATGCTTATGCAGCTCTTGTCAGTGGAACTCAAAACTTGCATTGACAAAAATACCATAATACAATAAAGGATGTTTTTTCAAAAATTATGGGGAGAGATTTTTTAATTTTACATGTTTTTATGTTGTGTAAAAAGTTTGATGTGATTCTGATCAAAATTGAATTTTTTAATAAATTTATGAAGTTGCTTCAAAATCAGGCCAAAGTTCCTGTAGTGCAGGGCTATTGGCCAAATTTTGTCAAAAATGATGAGGTAAAAATTTTGATACATATACATGTATTTATTTATTGATACATATACATGTATTTATTGATACATAATTTTACATATACATGTATTTATGTTGTGTAGAAAGTTTGACCTGCTCCCAATCAAAATGGAATTTTAATTGTACATGTACATTGTAGTTGTACACTATACAATAATATTTATGAGAAAGAAGGAGAGTGAGAGAGTCAAAACTGGACTACAATATGATGCTAAGCCAGTGTATTGTCATTTTTTAATCAAAAGTGTGGACTATTTGACCTTTTGACGCATGCTTTGCTCGAGAATAGAGAACCTAATTATTCCAGCATCAGTGTAATGTCAGGTCTTGTAAACCAGCCTTAAAGAAATTGTGAAAATAACCTGCTTTATCTTTATCCTACTTAAAAGTATCTTCAATCATTAACCAGCCTTAAAGGGGAAGTGAGGAGAGGAATAGGAATGAAGCTACTTTATCTTTGTTTTATATTCTTTATCTCCATTATTTATCTTCATATTTTATATTCATACTTAAAGTATCTTCATACTTCATTCATTCTTCATGTTGTTCCATGCAGTCTCAAGTTATCAAGACTAAGAACACTGAGAGTATGTCACTACCTCTCACTATTGCATCACTACTGGTCACCATCAGTTGGGCATTCTATGGAGTACTCATTCATGACAAGATGGTAATGGTAAGTGAGCTATTGGTACACTACTTGCATGTACTGTTATTCTTTGTGTCAGTTTCACTTTCATTAGGAAATTTAAAATGTAGTTTTGTATCATTAATAAACAATAATTTTGAGTGATATTCTCTTTTTTTAGTTCCCCAATTTTTTGGGCTTTGTACTATCAGCATTACAGCTTGGCCTCTTCTTAAAGTATCCAAGAAAGAAGGTGGCACAGTCTCCTTTACCTCAATAGCCTTCACTTGCCCTCTCTATTGCTCTTTTTGATAAAAAGCAATGACAAGGGACTATTGCTCAGTACATGTATAATTATTAACAGTACTATATATACAGTTAGTGATTCACATCTCATTGTCATAATGTTAACTCTTTCATAAAGATGACATCTTTTCAACATGATTAAATTAAATGGTATATTCATTACTAATAGTAGCAACAAAAGTACATAAAGAGTATCCAAAATCAGCAGGTGCCATGAAGCCATGAATCAATTTAATATACGTATTCTTTTGTGGATAACAAATTTTGGTAATTTCAAAGATGGTTATAATTCCCAAAAGTAAACTCCATTCACAATTTCTTTGCCACATTTTGCTAAAATAATACAGGAGGTCATTTTGCGAAAAATTTTTATTTGCAAAAGCTTAGCAAGAAAAATTTGAAAAATTTTATATTCAAAAAAATTAATCTACAAGGTAATCTATTTAGGTCTTATGATCAGCTGTTGTATGAGTTACTGAAATTTTAAAATACTAAATGAATGTAAAGATAAAGGGGGCAGGCATGGGCCATTGATTGACATTTTTTGACTATAAGATTTATAATTATAAATAAATATATCTAGCTCTTAGTTTCTTTTTTTTAATAAACAAATTTTTAAAATTATTATATTTATATTTTATTTTAAATTTTTTCATTTCATTTTTTATTTTGATTTTTATCCTTTTTTATTTTAATTTTTCATTGTTCTTTTAATTTTTTTCCTTCTTTATTTAATTTTTTTCAATTTTGTAAAATTTTTTATTTTATTTTTAAAAGTTTTTTGAACTTCATTTTTAATTTGAAAAATATTTTTATTTTTATTTTTATTTTTTACTTTTTTATTTTTATTTATTTTTATTTTTTATTATTATTTTTTTTAATTTTTTAATTGTTTT